CTTTTCTTCTAAATAGAATGCAGCCGAGAATGTACTGGATCAGCTGCTTAAAAAAGGAAAACATTGCAATAAACATTGCACTAAAATGCCATCAGAACGCTCATAATATTAAGTGTGCCTCAGCCCCTCCCCTTTAGTCTCCACCACATTGGATCAGTATATTTGCTGCACATGTTCAGAAAGGTCCAAACAGACGGCAGCAAACCATTTGAAAACAAACGATGCGAAGAGTGTTGCCAACTTAGCGCTTTTGTTGCTTTATTTAGCAACTTTTCAGACCCCTTTAGCACTTTTATTACAAAAAAAGTGCCTAGGGCCAAATCTAGTGACTTTTTTTCTGTTACTGGAGACTTTAACAACAACATATAAAAGCAGCAAACTCTGCTCTCTAGAGCAAGTAGATTGGTAGCCCCACCTCCTGTTCTCCTCTATCTTGTCTGCTGTAATGATTCCTGCAGCAATTATTTTATTTAAATGAAAACTGGAGAACAGATAAGCAGATCATGGCTTGTCTACAGTGGAAAGAAGGACTGGGTTATTAACTTTTGCCGTCACCTTTTTGGAAACAGAGGAAGGAGCAATCAGCTAATTTAGAACAGGTTTAGTGATTATAAATTCTTTGATTCCCTTTTGAGACAACATTTAAGTCAGCTGAGCATATTGCCAGCATGAAAAGAAAACAGAGGAAAACAGCAAGAAAAGGGACAAGAAGAGAGGGACAAAAAATAGAACAAAATAATGTATGTCTATTCTATTAAAATTTCTTTATCTGTATAATGGGTTTATTTTAGGTGTTGTCTTATCAATTCAGAGGGCCCCCTGCCTGTCTTTTCTTAGGGCCGCAAATTTCCTAAATCTGCCCCTGCCATCAGTTATCTAATGCTGCCTGCTGTGTGTGATATTTGACCTACTGTTAATTAAGTTAGAAAAAAAGTGAATAAGTTACATTAAAAAGTGTATTAAGTTACAAAGCTAATTTAGAAAATAAAAACAAAATGTGCCAATTTTCTTTCCATGTTTTTCACAAATTTCTTAAATGAGCACACTTTCGATTTCTTTTTTTTTTTTTTTTTAAGAATATGACAGCAAGTTTCTGTTTTTGGTAATTACATTGACCTTGATTTTGCCATGAAAATACTTTTTTTTTTGTTTCTAAATTAAAAAGATCTGTTTTTTCTCTTCCAATAACAAGTTTGACTTTAAATTTTGAACTTCAAAGAATTTCTTTGGGTGCCCTATAAAGCGTTAACTGACCTGCAAGGGTCACATTTTCTTAGTCTTTTCATAGAATAGATCAACTGTAACTCCAATTCAGTCATCTTCTAGTTTGTAACCTCACCTGAACTTTGCCTTCTCTGTGCGCAGACAACAATGAATGTTCATCCGACCCAAATCTATGCGGTTCCAATGGGGTCTGCCAGAACACCCCGGGTAGCTTCAATTGTGACTGCCAGCGGGGATTCTCACTAGATCCCAACGGACAAACTTGTGAAGGTCTGAATAAAAAAGACAGCACGACCAACTGATTGGTAACCGAAATGAAACCCTTTCAGTCATCGTGTTGTGTGTTGGTCCCTGACAGACATGGACGAGTGCGACGGAAGCCACAGATGTCAGCATGGCTGTCAGAACTTGGTGGGCGGCTACAGGTGCAGCTGTCCCCAAGGCTACCTGCAGCACTACCAGTGGAACCAGTGTGTTGGTGAGCTCCGTGGATTTCATTATTGAACATTTAAAACCCATTAATGTTGTAGTTGCTAAAATATCAAAGAAACACGGTATTTAAAACATAAGCCATACCTTTTTTTTCTTTCGTATAATAAAAACTTCTCTGTTTTCCTGTTACATGTAAATCCTTTATCTTTTGAAACTTTACAAAATAATGTACACCAACAATTTAAAGCTATTTTTCTGCTCCAGAGTTTAATAAATGCTCAAATTAATCACAAGAAAATGTTGCATCGTTTTAAAGGGGCCCCTGTCTACCTTAAATCTCTCTACATATCGATAAGATTTAGAACAGACTTCCCAGTATTGTTTGTGCTCTTTCACTGGAATGACCCCCCCTATCCGCACTTGTTTATTTACTTCCCACTAACTTCCTGTGACCCAGATGAGAATGAGTGTCTAAACAGCCAGATCTGCGGGGGAGCGTCATGCCACAACACCCTGGGGAGCTTCCGCTGCCTGTGTCCCACTGGCTTCAACTATGAGCAGTCCTCTGGAGGCTGCTCTGACATCAACGAGTGCTCCACCACCCACAACCCATGCAAGTTTGGCTGCTCAAACACAGACGGGGGCTACCTCTGTGGATGCCCGCCAGGATATTACCGCGCAGGACAAGGGTACATCCAAGCAATGCTGTGAAAACAGTAGCTTACCTGCGTTTGATTCTGTTTGACGTATTACTTTATTTCTGTTCCAGGCACTGTGTTAAAGGTCTCGGCTTTACGAGTGTTAATGGCGGACAGGGAGGGGAGGTGGATGATAACTCACTTTCCCCAGAAGCCTGTTATGAGTGTAAGATAAACGGGTACCCAAACAAAGGACGTAAACGCCGCAGTGTCAACTCAACACATGATGGCGCCCTGGAAGACATGCAGGTAATCTAAGCTCAGGACAGAGGACACAGCAGGACCTAATCATTTTAGGCTTTTATGGGAACATGAGCAGTTACAGACATCAGCCATTTGTCTGGTTCACTTTATTTCTAGAAATAAGGGAGGAAAAAACTATCTAGAACCTCCACTCTAACGCACACCGTCAGTTTTTATCCAATAATCTTATCAACGTTCCCCCCGAAAATCAAACTAAAAACTAAATTGCTTTTATACCTCTTTAATTATTTTTATATTACAACTACAGAGTTTGATGCATTATAATACACCAGATGCTTCGTTTTAAATTTGTCCTGCTTCTCAATTCCTTTGGTCCCTCTAACAGTAGTTTTTTTTTTTTTTCTAGAATAGTCTTTCATCCATCTTTGCATCACCTCTAACTAGTGTGTTTCCCTTCAAAAATAAGGAAAAACATCCCCACAGCATGATTCTTCCATCACAATGTTTCCACATGGGGATGGTCTATTCGGAGTGTTGTGCACCACATGCTTTCACAGAGCAGCTATATTTATTTTTCCATAAAGCCAAAGGCCACAGATTTCACTTCTTCTGTGAAATCTTAAGGTAATCGGTTGGACTTGGTGTTATTTAGGGGTATCAGATTAAAAGGGGTAAATATCTTGACATGTTTTGAACCAGGTATCATTTTCTTTCTACTTCAGAAGTAGACACTATTATGTATAGGTCATATAAAATCTAATTAGGCCTTTGCAGTCCTTGGCTGCTGAGGTTTTTGTGATCATAATTAGGATAAAGTCTCATAAAAAAATACTACAAACGAGCACAAACTGCCTCATGTTGATGCACAACTGTAATTGACCAGGTGTGATCTTACCTCAGTTAGTTTTGGTAAAATCTGAATTTTGATTTAGTTTTTTTTCCCCCTTCAGCTCACTGAGGATAATGCAGTAAGCCTGGCCAGCATGGACATCGAAAATACGCTCCAGCTGCATCTGAACATCAGCGACCTCACCAACCGCGACCACATCCTCGAGTTTACCCCAGCCTTGTCCACACTCACTGACCACTTGCGCTACAGTATAGACAACGGGAACGAAGAGGGTTTCTTCAAAATCAACCAGAGGGAGGGTGTCAGCTACCTGCATTTGAGTAAGAAAAGGGTCATCCCGCCGGGGGCGTACGACCTTCAGATCAGCAGCGTCCCTCTCTACAGGAAGAAGGAGCTGGCCGAGCTGGAGGACCAGCATGATAAAGACTACCTCACGGGACAGCTGGGAGACGTACTGAAGATGAGGGTACAGCTCATCCTCCATTAACCGTCGCCAGACTGAGAGCGGCAGATGTTGCTGGCAGCTGCTGATCCAGCGTCAGGCTCACACTGCTCTAAATGCAAAACAATTGAGACTGTGGATCAGTAGTAGGGGCAACTAGGGGCTCGCCACCAAAGAGACAAAGAGGGGGGTGGGTGGGGGTTTACAGCACCATTTGATCACCAAAGATGATTCTACATATCATAGATACAAATTCTATGAAGCGAATAGCAGCAAAGTGAAGCTTGATCGATCTAATGAAACCCAACTTCAGCTGCGTTTGAAGCTGTCGAGGGTGTGAAAGGTTGTGTTAAATGTTATGATATGTGGAATCAGATACCACTTGGGCTGCGAAAAGCTATTTTATAAACTCAGTTTTGTTGAAAGAATGGGTTTAGTCGCAATAGCCTTGATATTAATGTCCTTCCCTTGCAGAGTTAAAGAATTTCTTCTTCCCACATGCTGAAAGTGGTTGAAAAAGAAAAAATGTAGGAGCGAAGGAACCCACTGTGGACTATTGAGATGCAACTACATCAGAGCTTGAATGAATCCTACTGCCTATTTAAACTCTTTCCATCTTTCCTACTGATCCAATAATCCATATCTACTGGTGCTAACACATCTGCATAGACTTCTGAATGCACTGCACTACACTACAAAACCCTTAGTAGTCATATACGATCCTGTCGGTCATTCTGAAGATTTTGTGTCCTTGCCGCTGCAACAGCTAGCATTGAAAGCCTGTCTGCTCTCTTCTGTGTATGTAAATTGTGTTTATACTGTAATAATCAGTGCCACTTTTAATCTATGAAGCATTTGTAAACTAGAGGAAGCCCCAGGATTAGAAGGGGTCATAATGGTGCTTATAATGACCAACTACTTCCTTTTTAAACAGTTTATACAGACATGCAGTGTACACTCACACATTTGATGATGCCAAACCTGGGCCTTCATGATTATGCACTGAGGTCTCTGTGGCCACACGTCTCACAAGTTCAATCAGTGCTGCATTTTACAGACCAGCCTGTTCTCTGTTCACATCAGTGAGGGTTTAGCTGTAAATCCACACAATAAAACATACTTTTTTGTGTATGCGTGTGATTTTATGCCTTTATTTATCCCATTGGCCAATTAACAAAGTTGGAAACATGAACCTCCCAGGTACACAGTAAATCAGATACAAAATAACTGGATATTGTACACAGAAATCTCACATTTTACCCTGTATCAGAGAGTTATAGCACTTAGCAGGCAGCAGAGGAGTGTAGTTTAAAAACGTCGGTAAAAATTCCAGTCCTGTACTGCCCCCATGTGGAAATTTGTAAAACTTCTACTACTGCTTGCTTATAGAAACCATGGAGCGAGAAACCAGATTAACCTGTATGAAAGAAACCCAAAAAATACAACTTTAAAAGCACCTCATTTTCAATACCAGGAAAAACAGTTATTGCTACTCCAGTAACATTTGGATCATTTAGTTGCGCCCAGTAGATCCAAAGCCTCCAGCACCACGGTCAGTTTCTTCAAGTGTCTGGGGGGGGAAAAATAAAATAATTTAAGTGACTTATCAAGCCGAATACATAATATAATTTGGATGTTGGTGCATAAGGAGAAGTTGGAGATGCACATGCAAAATACTTCAAGACTTTTATTAGTATGAATGATATTGAAACAAATCACTATTTTTCCAGCAGTGGCACCACTAAGGAGCTGAAAGTTTAAATTGTAACCAAAGTAAAAAATTATGTTACATTTTAAATTCATACCTTGCACAAACAATGTTACGACTAGGGCTGAAACGATGAATCAGATTAATCGATTTTTGAAATAATAGTTAACTAATTTAGTAATTGATTTATCGTTAACTGGCGTGTAGAGATTTTAAACATTCCTGAACCCACTGCAAGCAGCAATTATACCCAAGCTGTAAAAAAAAAAGTAAACATTTTGCATGTAATATTAAAATATTTTTCTTCTGTCAATAGACTATCCAGAACTCCTCAAGTGGAAAAGTTGTTGTTTTACCTCGTTTGATTTTGTAAAAAATCTTCTTTAAGGAACCTTTTGCTTTCACATTATTAATAGATTAATCAAAAAAATAACAGATAAATGAATTTGAAAAATAATTGTTAGCTGCAGCCATATTTACGACCAACTGGAGGCAACTTAAAAGCGATTAATTAAATCAAGCTAGTAATGTTGCAGTTTACCTCTTCCTCTACCAGAGCTGGGTAGCAGATCTTCTCACAGACAAGCTGAGCGATCCGGTCACCCTTTTTCACTGTGAAGAGAAACACGAGACAATACACAAATTTTCTGTCAGCCACTGATTTATGCAAGATCTCCTGCTTAGAAATATGAAAGAGATCTGTAATTTTCATCATAGGTACCTTTCAACCTTCAGAGACAAGATGAAAAAGAACAAAAAAAATGTAGGAAAATAACACTGTAGTATTTTTAAAGTGATTGAATTTAAATTATGTTGGCAAATAGGCATTAAATCAAGCAAGATGTCTGGCCCTCACAGACCAGTAACCTTAAGAAGCTCTTCTGTCCATTGCTGATTACCTGTATTAATTAAACCTGTTTAAACCCATAATTATCTGTATAAAGACAGCCCCCAATAGTTTTAAACTGTCAGAATCCAAACTCAACCATGGCCAATTCCAAAGAGCTGTGGAATGACACATGGGAGAAAACTATAGACCTGCAACCGGCTAACATAGCTAAGCAGGTTGGGGAATAAATCAACTAAGGGAGCAATTGTAGTAAATGGAAAATTTAAAAGATCACTGATAACGTCCCTCTGAGGCCCGACGCAAGATCTTATCCTATGACGTCAAAATGATGAATGACCTGCAGCTGGGACCAAGTTAACAAATGCATATTATATTAATGTATATGCAGTGAGAAGAATACTCTTGGAAGATGTGATAAGTACCTGAAGATTGCTGAAGACCTGGAGATATACAGAGGTAACTAAAATAGATTAGATCACTCAATAGACATAGATTAATAGATCAATCTAGTGATATATTTGCAAATTTTCCTCCGTTTCTTCATGAAAGTATTCTTCTAAGGATAGAAATGTGTAAAATTGAGAGTTTATTTGCCACGGAACAAAAAATGATGACAAACAAGCCTAAATTATAACATATTTACACATAGTGGGCTTGTACAGTCAGGCTTTTGATCAGTAAAAATTTTTTTAGGCTATGCCACTGTGTTCCTCTAGAGGTTACAGAACCTCAGCATCCTAGAACCTTTACAAAACACTACATACCCAAATGCTGAGAGAGAACTCACCTTCAAATGTTTCCTTGCCAAAGTTGAAGAGCACGACACCTACATTGCCCCGGTAGTCTTCATCCACAACACCAGCTGTAAACACACAGAAACTGTTCAAATGTGCCGATGGTTAATGTGTTTATTTTTATTTTATTAAATTCTGGTCCTCAAGGACGATTCTCAGCATACCTGATATCGATCAATGATTAAATAACAAGCTTCTACTGAACTGCAGACACATGAACCAGGTGTTTCAAGCATGGATATATCTAAAATTACTTCTTGAATTAACTACTATCAACAGGCTTAAATTTAATAACACAGCTGTGTTTACACTTTTTGTTTTCTTTTACCCTTTTGATCCAAACCCCTAACCAGTTGGTGGCGGTAACGCACCAAAAATGAATAAACTGAAATGAAGAGCTTTCAGGATATTCCCACAAAACAAAATTTAATTTATATAGCTTTCCGACAGTGAATGAGCAGCAGCTTCGCAGTGAAAAAGAAAATTTCCATTCATAAAGTGCAGCAGTGATCAAATGTAAACAGTGTAGGAGAGATGTGGTGCAAAAAGGCATTGATGTTGAAGGTTCAGAGCAGGGCAAAAATAAATATCCATCCATTTTCTGGGATGCTTAATCTCAAGAGGGGTCGTGGGAGGTGCTGGTGCCTATCTCCAGCTGTCTACTGGCGAGAGGCGGGGGCCACCCTGGACAGGTCGCCTTTTCAAAAAAGGGAAACACAAAAAAAAAAAGGAAAAAAAAAAAAAAAA